ACGACGCCGTCGTCGTTGTCGTCGTCGTCGTCGAGGCGGTGGGGGAGGAGAGGAGGAAGAGCGGAGGAAGAACACCTGGAAGAAGCTGAGGGCCCCAGACGGGTTGTTTTGGACCCGTGCCGGGCTGCTGCGGCTCTATACCGGGCGCGATTGACCGACACGCGGTGTCGGCAGAGAGAGAGGGCGCGAAGGAAAGCCGGGCGGCGGAGGCGGGCGAGGATGTGACGGAGGAGGAACCACAGGCGTAGGAGGAGCCGCTGTTTGGCAGGCGGCCTTTCGTCTTCAAAAAACAACGTCCGCGGCGGCGCGGACAGCGAGCCCTGTTCAAAAGGAACAGGGACTGCTGTTGGGCATTGTACCCATTCTTTCCGTAGCCATTTCGATCGTGCCGAAGGATGCCGTGTGTTTATGCGGAACCCCGGGATCGCGCGGTGGTCCACGGCAGGCGGCGGTGACGGCGGAGGCGCGGGGGATGATTCAAGGGTGGCGGGGGCCCGCCACGCTGCGCTGCGTCGACGGCCCCGATGACATGCACACGCTGGAACTGCACGCCGCGACCCGCTGGGCTCAACTAGCTGGCCCATGCGTTGACGGGCCTGCTCGTTCCCGCGGACAGCTCCGTCCGACTCGCCCGAATCGGGGCGCGGGGGCGGGCGAGCGGGAAGGGGACGAGGATGCGGAGGAGGATGGTCAGCAGGCGGAGGAGACGCAGGCGGATGCTGGCGAGGAAGGGGTGGGGGGCAGGAGGAAGGCAACGAGCATGCCTGAGAGAGAGGAGGATAGCGGCCGACGGCGCCGACGAAGCGGCGGCCTCCCCGCTAGAATTCAGCAGGTACTGCAGGGCCCGCTCATCCTCGCTGGGCACCGGCGGGCGGGGAGGACCGTGCAACCGTTCCCTCCCGTCTCCTCCCGCGAGTGCAGGACAATGTGTGCGCCCACACTCTCCCCTTGGCACCTCTTCCGGCGCGAGGATGGAGCAGGCCAACGCCGCACGAGGATGGAGCGAGGATGGAGCAGGCCAACGCCGCGGCCTGGAAGCCGCAGCGCGGCCCTCTCCGTGTTTCCTGTCCTGTCGTGTCCCTGTTCCGCGGTGGACAAACCTCCCTGTAGTGAACCTCCCTTTAGTGAAAGCGGCCTGGGACCGAAACCGACGGACCTGGACCCGCGAAGATGACGGCCGCGACGCCCTCTCGCGCACCGAAAACGGCCAATTCGCTAATCGACGCGTCAAGTTAGGAGGTCTGTCCACCCCCGACCTGTCCTGTCCGTGAGGGATGAACAAAAACGACCCTTCCCTGGGTTACAAGCGCGTGGTCTGTAAACCTCCTGGGAACCTCCAGAGCCTAGAGCCGCCAGGACGCGGCACATCACGCAGGGTTTACCCTGTGAGCCCACAGGAGTTTCAGCGCACAGCGCCTCGTAAACCAGGGTCCCTGTCTCGCGGTCCCCGTCTCGCCGCCTCCTGCCCGAAGGCGCCCGCAGCCAGGCGGCCAGGCCCGGGCCTCCTGCCCGCGCTCCGCGCTCTGGCCTCCCCTCTGCTGGACCGCCCGAGGGGTCGCGGACACTCTGCCGGCCACCGCTGGCGTGAACCCCTGCGGGAGCCTCGTAGGTGCCGGGCGTTGGTAGGACTGGGTTTCGTACCGGGGGCGCCCCCCCGTCGCATTTCCACCAACCGGAACTGCCGTCCCCCGACAAAACAGCAGCCATGGCAAACCTGGTTTGGTGATCCTGGCCAATTCGAAGGCTCCGGGGCCCTACCACCAACCGGGTCCCCTTCCCCGGAGTCCTGGCCATACCCGAGCCTGCGCGCCATGCGCGGTGGGGTGCACGCGCGCCGTGCGCAAGTGCCTCCGAGCCGCGGGCTCGTTCCTCCCTTCGTCCCTCGTCTCCTCCTGCTCCTCCCCTCTCCTCCTGGTCCTCCTCCTCCTCCTCCTCCTCCTCCTCCTCCTCCTCCTCCTCTTCCTCCTCGTTGTGCGTGGCCCTCGTGTCTCACGCCGGCGACCTTCTCACAGAACCCCGCGGCGCTCTATGTGGAAGCCTTTGCCACGCCCGGTGGGACCAGACAGGGGAAACCAAAAAGGTACAGATACAATCAAAAACCCTAATAAGGACGCGCGGTAAGGACGCAAGACCCTTGGAAGCCGAAGTTGGCATTTTTGGGGCGGCGAACGACGAAAACCTCAAGGATGCAGGAGCAACGAAGAGCAAGGACGCAAGGGTACCCTGAGCAAAGTCGCGCGTCCTTCTTAGGGTTTTTGACTGTACTGCTAAGTCATATTAACGATGTGTGATGGGAATATCTGCCACTTTGGTTGCGCATAGTCCGTCATCGTGGTGGCAGGCGTGCAGCTGACTGGAAGACAAGTCGTCAAATTTATTCAGCAGTGGGCATATGAGCAGCTAATCCGCCACTGTGCCTGCACGAAGTGGGCGTGTTAGAATGCGTTGTGTTGTCAGGGGTTATGCAAAGTCGTAAGGGACCCATCACCCCCCATCGACGCGCGCACCTCTTAAAGCAAAACGCCTCTCCTGAAATTACTGGATGGCGGTCTTTTCGGCCTCCAGACGGCTGAGATGGCCTCCAAGGCGGCTTCCAAGACAACAAAGACGACAACGAAATGGCCCATGAGGCTCAATGTGCCCCAGGACAGCTCAACACCCTCTCAAGACAGCCTCAAGACGGCTCAAGAGGCTACCAAAAGAGCCTCAAGACAGTCCAAGAGGCCTCCAAGGCGGCCCAAGACGTTCTGAAAGGTATTCCTGGAGAGCCCGAGGGGGCCACAACCATTGCAGTTCCTTAAATGTTCGAAGGATTTTGAGGTTCTCGCCTGTTTGGGTTCCCGACCGCCCAAGACGGCCCGAGAGATATCCAAGAGGCCTCAAATATAGAGGACCCCAAGTCGGCTCAAGCGGACCCAACGAGCGCACAAGGGGCTCCCAAGATTGGAGCGCTCCAGGAAAGCGGCAAGATGCCCCAGAGAGGTGTCCTGGGCTGCCCTGGGCGGTCCGAAACCCAAACTTGCCAGAACGTCAACAGTCTTCAAAGACATGCGGACAATCAGTGGTTTGGGCCTCCTCGGGCTCTCCTGGAGGGCCTCTTGGAGACCTCGTGAGCCCTCCTGGGGGCCCATGGATCTGCCCTTCTTGGGAGCCTCATGGCTTCCAGGACGGCATTCAAGGCAGCCAAGATGACACCAAGATGGCCCAAGGCAGCTCAAGAGGCTCCCAAAACAGCCTCAAGACAGATCAGAACGCCGCCAGGACGGCCCAAGAGAGCTCCAAGAGGCCATCCTGGAGAGTTCAAGGAGGCAGCAACCATTGATTCGCCTTAGGTGTTTGAAAGATGTTGAGGTCCTCGCCCATTCGGGTTTCCGACCACCAAGACGGCCCAAGAAGCCTCCAAGAGGCCTGGAAGACAGCTTCAAGGCAGGTCAAGAGACCCCGAGTAGGGCCTCAAATTGGCCCAATGTCTCCAAAGATCGCCGAAGGGTCTCCCAAGAGGGCCCCAAGACGGCTGTGAACCGATCCAAGAGGGCACCAACACTGCCTACAGAGGCCCCAAGACGGCCTCCATAGGCGACAGACAGGTCAAGAGCCCCCTCAAACTGCCCAAGAGGACCTGAGCAGCCCCTAAGAGGCCCATGAGGCCCCCAAGATGCCACAAGCTTTCAGGACCCCCCCAGGAGGCCGTCAGGAGGCCCCAAGAAGGCCCCAAGAAGCCTTCTCATCCTCATCCTCATTTTCCCCCCCGCTCCTCCTCCTCCTCCTCCTCCTCCTCCTCCTCCTCCTCCTCCTCGTTATCATCCTCCTTATACCGCGCGGACGAAGACAAGATCGGGATCACGACCAGTCCAAATGCAGACTACTCGTCCGATTTACGCTATTCCTGTACTGAGCCTCACTGCTGCTGTGCTGGTGCACAGGCACGGTAACGGGGTTGGCGCAGGCAACTGGATAGCGGGGAATGCCTTCAACAACTGAGCTTGCATGAATGAACCGGAATCGTCACAACGATCCAACCAATTAATAAACGGGGGTGGTTCGGTCGTAACGCTCTGGGTCCCCTCATATCTCCCCGAGTCCTGAGAGCCTGGGAGGTGTCTATCAGAAAGATGAAGGACGATAGAGCCAGATCAACATGCTTCTTGGACTGATCAAGCCAGATTTCAACCCCGGACGAAGCGAAGGATTAAGAACGATCAGACGGAACTTAACCAACTTTACAAGGATTACGCTAGTTTCCGACCAGGTATATACCACCGCCCATTCAGAATTTAACCTCCCAAGAGTTGCATCATCACCCTCCCTCTTGCCTTCCTCGACCTTTTCCCGTCGGTTGCGTCGTCCATGCCTTGCTTCGCAAGGCCAGTCCCCTGATCTAGGGACGGGCCTCTTTGTGGGCCCGTCCCAACAGGCCTGCTCGCAATTGTAGGGCTGTTCTGCCGTAGCTGCGCTGGCGCGCGCGCGGAGTGTGCAGCAATGCTGCTCGATAGCTCATGCTGAGCATGACCCACGCTCACCTGAATATTCGTCCTCGCACACAAGTGGTCCGCTGCGCTCCGCTCACCTCCTCCCTCTTCATCCCCCTCCTCCTTCCTTCTTCCTTCTTCCTCCTGCTTCTGTCCTCTTTTCCCCCTCATCCGTCATCCTCCTTCCCTCTTCTTTCGTTTGCCATGCTAGATACATGTCCTGGCGGAAACGGGTCCTGAATTCCCCCGGGCTTCCTCCTGGCCAATCTCTTCACACTCAGTGAACGCGTTTGACAGCCCCGAGGCTCCCGAGAGGGCCCCGGGAGCCTGCGGATGGCGACAAAAACTCCAGACCCGCTTCCCTTGGGACCGTTTGGTTCATGGCGACTATCTTCCGCCTTCCGCCCTCCCTCCAAACTTCTCCCTCCTCCTCCTCCCTTCTCCCTCCTGGCCATCGCTTGGACGTCCATTTCCTGAATTTTTGTTGGTTTCGTGCGTGGTTTTTTCGTCAAATGATCAGGGATGCTCCTCGATGGTCCTCGCCGCAGGAAAAACGCACACGTCCGAGCGATGCCAAGCCTCCTCCCTTCTCCCTGCCTGGAGCGAAAGCCGCCAGGTCTCGGGCCCCTGGCCTGTTAGGAGGGCCGCCCAGCCTTGGATGGGGTGGGTGGGGAACGGGGAACGGGGAACGGGGAGCGGAGGAGGAGAAGGAATTGTTTCCCCCAAGGCTAAAACTTACGCAGTTTGCCTGTTGGAGCCGTTCGCCTCCTCCTCGCGCGCGGCCACCCGGCGGCGGAGGGAGCAGTTTCAGCGCGCGCGGCGTGCGCGCGGCACGGACGACGTGCCGCTTCGCACCAGTCCCGCCCCAGCATGCCGGGGCCGTTGGCTCCTTCCGACCTGTTCCGAAGAGGGGGGATGGCGGGGGGAGGGGGAAGGGGCGGGGGGGGGACGGCGGCAAGGTGTCGGCGGTGGACAAACCTTCCTTTGGTAAGCCTCCCCTTAGGGGAGGGACCGAAACCGACGGACCTGGGACCCGCAAAAACGACGGCCGCGACGCCCCCTCGCGAACCGAAAACGGCCAATTCCTTACTCGACGCGTCAGGGTATAGGAGGTCCGTCCAACCCCGAAGAGGGGCGCCGACTGCGGCCGCGCCCGCTCGGGGGACGGGCACGGGCAGGCTCGGGAGAACACGGACCGAAAACGGCCAATTCCTTACTCGACGCGTCAGGGTATAGGAGGTCCGTCCAACCCCGAAGAGGGGCGCCGACTGCAGCCGCGCCCGCTCGGGGGACGGGCACGGGCAGGCTCGGGAGAACACGGAAGGGTGGCGAACAACGAGGGCGAGCGCCACGCGGCGGACGCAGGGGGAGGGGGCGGAGGGCCTGCAGGCTGCGCGGCGAGCCCCCACGCCAACCCCCCGCCGACGCCTCCGCCGTCCGCTCTGGGAGGAGGAGGAGGAGGAGGAGGAGGAGGAGGAGGAGGAGGAGGCGGAGGAGGAGCACGAGGTCCGCGGCAGCGGAGCAGCATGGCCCTTCTGGCAGCGGGAGGCTCCGGAAGCGCCGGCGGGCCCGCCGCGGAGGAGGGCGCCCCGCTCTTGCAGCCGCGCCGAGCCGCGCCGCCGTGGCGCGGGCCCGTGCCGCGCCGCGCGCGCCGCCGGGGGAGGCCGCCCGCCGCCCGCCGCCGTCGCGGCCGCCGTACGCCGAAGGGGCAGGTCGTCCGGCAGGGGCGGGCGGCGGAGCGGGGGCGCCGCCGGCCTCCGCGTGCCGCCGCTGCCGCGTGTGCTCCGCGGCCTCCATCGGCGTCGTCGCCGCCGAGGCGCGGGGCCGCGCGCGCCGCCGCGCGCCCGCCGCCGAGGGCTGGCCGCCGAGGGCGGGCCTCGCAGGCGGGGCGGCGTCGGGCGCGGGCGGGGGCGGCGTCGCTTGAGGACGGCGACGGCGAAGTGAAGGGTGCCCGCGGCGGCGCGGAGGAGGCGGGCTGCCTCACGATCCGCGCCGCCCGCACGCCCAGCGGCCGCATGCGGGCATCCTCGAGCGGCGCGGCTGCGCGAGCCCGCTGCGTCGGCGGCATCAGCAGCGACGCGGGAGGCGCGGGCGCGACCCAGCGGGGCGAGGCTTGAGCGAAAGACCAACTGGGGGGGGGGCGGAGGCGGAGGAAGGATTGGGGGGGTGATGGGGGGAGGGTGGGGGCGGGGGGAAGGGGAAAAGGGGGGGGGAGGGGGGAGGCGGCGGAGGGAGGGGACCGTGGATGGAAGGGAAGGGGAGTGGAGGAGGAGGAGGAGGAGGAGGAGGAGGAGGAGGAGGAGGAGGAGGAGGAGGAGGAGGAGGGGGAGGAGGCCGCGCCCCTCGAGAGAGGCGAGCAGGCACGCCGTCCATCGGGTACCTGGCGTGGAAGTCCGCTATCATCTGCAGCGTCTCGCGCGGCCGCGGGAGGGGGAGGACGGTGGAGGGAGCACGGGCGGCGAGCGTGGGGGGGGAGGGAAAGAAGAAGGAGAGGGCCCTCTCAGAAGGCGGCAGGGGTTCTCAGAAACCCTCGCGCCTCCTGGGACATCGTCCGTGTCTTCGGGGCGCGCCCCGGCCGCGTCTCAGAAGGCCGGGGGACTTCCGAGCCATGCGAGAAGGCCCGCCCCTTCTCGCTTTCCCCCTGGGCACGCCGCATAAGGCAGAGACCTGGCGTGAGCTGGCGGCGCGCACGGAGGGGGGCGCCGCGTGGTGGGCGGCTGCTCCAAGAGGGCGCGCGCTAGAGGCCAGAGCGCCATGCGGAACGGCAGGAGCAACGCGCTGATCCCGAGACGTGGCCAGAGGGCTTCGGCGAAAGCATGATTCCGAACAGCCGAAGGTGAGATCTGGCTTGTGAGAGGCAGTAGAGGTGGGGGGGCAACCGAACAGTTTCATGTTCTGTGGGAACTCGTGGGAGCCGCCTCCCAGATTTTGTGGGTCCGTGCGTGTCGACACTACTCGGCGCTCGTCGACGCCAATCGAGGCTAAATCTACGCTATTCGACGCTATCTCATGGGTCACCAAACGCTGATCGACGGTACGCAAGGGTCCCGTGATTTGCTGTCGAGTAACCATGGGAGAGGACGAAGGTGCGTATCAGACTGGGGCGAAGACGGGGTGTGGGGGGGGGGGCGATGGCGGAGGAGGGGCGACGAGGGCCCGTGGGGGTCTCCTCCCCGGAGGCCTCCGAAGTGCCCAGGAATCTCCAGAGGCTCCAGACAGGCTCGCGATCACCTGCTCGAAAAAGCCCTCGGCGAGGAGGTGACCGCGCCATGGTTGGCGGGGGGAGGGCCCACCCCAGGAGGCCTGGAGACGTCCAGGATGCCCTCCCCCCGAGCCAGGCGCCCATCTAGAGGCCTCCCAGATGGGGTCCAAGTGGACCGGGTCGACGCATCCGCGACGTCGGCGTGGGGAAGTTCGGGCTGCATATCGAGCCGCATCACCGATGCATCGGCGATGCGGCGCGATCCTCCGACCCCATCTACCCAGGCCCCATCTAGGAGGCCTAGGCCATCTGGGCCAAACTCCAGGGGCGCCCCCCCGCATCCCACCCCCACCCGTGCCCGTCTCCCGTGCCCCTCCATCGAGGTCCGAGAGATCGACGAAGATCAGGGCTCGAGGGCTGCACAACCTGGGCTTCTTGGGCTTGCCTGCAGATTGCAGCCCGACGGAGCACAAAGGCAAGGCCCTGGATGCATTTCTCCGGCACCGCGGCCCTCCTCGCGGCAGGGTGGCCCGCTGGGTGGCGTCGCCTCCCCCTTCCTCCGACCAGGGGCCCCGACGACCGGGACGGGATGCCGAAGCAGGGACGAGCGCCGTGCCTCGCGCCATGATGGGCCTGTTGTCCACCATCACCACCACCACAAGTTGGAGGGGGGAGGGAGGTGGAGGATGAGGAGGACGAAGGGGATGAGGAGGACCCCCGCCCCCTCCTACTTATCGTGGTGGTGGTGGTGGAAAACAGGCCCACCACGCCAGGCTTGGGCTGCTTGGCGCGCACTACGCCGGGGCACAGCCCAAATGTGGGACGATGCTGCTAAGCAGTCGAAGTACCCCCAACTCTCCGGGAGCGGACCTGAGTTCGGAGGCCCCAGCCATCAGGGAGAGGAAACCTCTTCTGCGGATAGATCGGGCCGAAGCACCCAGAAATGTGATCCTGATGCAACAAAACGGGGACCTCAGCGAGGCCACGTCCTCGTCCGCCGGTTCTCAGGGTCAGGGGGCCCTTATATTCTCTATGAGATGCCCAGCAGCGGGTGCTGTCCAACACCGGCAGCGGCCGCCGCTGGGCAGGCGACGTCTGGCCCGCCCGAGCGGGCATCGCCCGCGGCGACTCCGATCAGCGAGTCCTGCTCACGACAGCCGGCGGCGCAGGGGGGAGGGCTCCTCAGAAGGAGGCTGGCAAGTACAGGGCAGTTTTTGATACATCGGATGTTTAAACAGATTGGACTCATAATAATGATTAAGGTATGAGTAAATGTATGCATGAACCCATCGTTGCGTTCAACACTAAATCCCTGCATGTTTAATACATGATCCGCACGCGAAGCATGTATCAAACACGGCACTGTACTTCGACGGCGCGGGCCCTGCATCTGCAGAGCAGGCCCGCGCCAGCTGAGGAGCAGGGGTGCTTCTCTCGCCATCGCTCGGACATCCATTCCCTGTGCATTTGTCGGTTTCATGCGTGGTTTTTTCGCCAAATGATCAAGGATGCTCCTCGATGGTCCCCACCGAGGAAAAATGCACACGTCCGAGCGATGCCAAATTCTGAGCAGGCCTCTTCCACCCTCCCCCCACCCATCAGCCCCCCTCTGCACGTGGCTGGGGCAAGCATTGGCCGCCGCGTGACTTTGCGCTCCGGTCTTGCCGTGCCGCGCCTGCGCTGCGCGCCCCCCCCCCCCCCCAAGTGGGCCGCGCACGCCGCAGGGGTCGCCCCACGGCCCCCCCGCGCCAGGCTCTCCGCCAGGCCAGCCTTGCGCGCTGGAGTGGCCCCTACCTGGCCAGGGGTGACCTCTGGGGGGAGATCTCGGGGGCGACAGCATGACACCAGGGGCCAGGAGATCGGGGGGGGGGACATCATGGTCCCAGCCATGATGTTCCCCCCTCCCTGGGGGAGGGGCAAGCGGAGGAAGGGGCGGGTGGATGGAGGACCCCTTCCCGCTTCTGAGTGGCCCTGGTTCCGACCACACTTTCGGCCAGGCTGCCGAGAGGCATCCATTGCCTCTGTGTTCCGTTTCTTCCTCGTCCTCGCTGGAGGTTCACGCTGTCTTAGATGTAGGTCGGGCATGCCCCCCTACAGGCGGATTCTGGACGAAATATAAAAAAGTCGGAACATACTCAAAGATGGTAAAAAATAGTGGAAACTTCGTCCCCAGACTATTTTTTGTCTATTTCTGATCCCTCCCCCCTGTAGAGGGACGTGCCCGACGGACCCGACTTGCTCCGATGCCGACTCCGACCTCCCCGCACGGCCAGCCCGCCGCCACCACGCACTCGGGGCCCAGCGGGCCCCGCCTCTCCGGAGACATCCCCCTCGGAGAGCGACCCGAGCCCCGAGGCCGCGCGGCAGCCCCGAACCGAGACGAAGCCATGGCGAAGACAGGATGGGGCGAGGGTGCACATCCGGCATCTCCGAGAGCCCGCGGCCCCGTCTCGGGCGCCGCGGTCTCCGCGGCGAGCTCCGGAACGGATGGATCCTCGTCCCAGCTCCGCCCGACGAGCACCCATCGGTCGGAAGGAGAAGGTGGAAACACGAAGCAGGAAGGCGCTTTAAAGTAGATTGGGCTCCGCCCGCCGCCCCCAGGAGGAGGACGGAAGAGGTGAGAAGCCACTCGATCATGGAAGCAGGCAGGCGCTTGGAGCAGATTGGCATCTGGGAGCCCGAACATACCTCCTCTCCACCGCCGATGGGTATCCACCGACTCGCCGCACGGAGAGGTCACTGCACCGTGGGGGGGGGGGGGCCCGGCTGGCCCTCGGTCCCCCCCTCCCGGCATGCATCTCGCCGACGCCCACGGGGCGGCGCGCCGGAGCGCCTGCTCCGCCGTGGACCCCGGGGGGAGCGCCATGGGGGAGCTGGTCTGCGACCTGTGCTGCTGGAGGCAGAACCTCCGGGGGGGGCAGCAGGCGTCCGGGGGAGGCGAGGAGGGGGCGAGGGAGCAGTCCTGGAGCGGGCGCAAGAGCACGTGGATCAGGAGCGAGAGGAGTAGGAGGAGGAGGAGAAGGAGGAGGAGGAGGAGGAGGAGGAGGAGGAGGAGGAGGAGCAGGAGCAGGAGGAGGAGGAGGAGGCGGAGGAGGAGGGAGGATGAGGAGGAGGAGGAGGAGGAGGAGGAGAAGGATCAGAGGCAGGAGCAGGAGGAGCAGAAGGTCGATGCAGAGGGTCAGGAGCAAGGTCGGGAGGTGGATCGGGAGCGTGAGCAGGAGGATAACCACGACCAGGACAAGACAAGACACATAGATCCAGTGATTGTCCCCCCTAGAAGATGGAGTGGCAGTGGCCCCCTGTTGCGCACAGAGCGCATACAAGCGGCTACCGTTGGCTGGGCCGTCTCAATCACGAGCAGGATAATCAGCGGGGGAGCATGAAGAGCTAGAGGCGGTAGCTAAAGCGGGTGAGTGGGAATGCCTGCCCACATCTCAGCTGGCCGACTCCACTGCACATGCATCCGCCCAACCTACATTCGATGTCGTACTCCGCCTGTCGCCGTGTTCACAGTTGACACCCCCTGCGAATGATGCAGAGGTGCAGCAGAACAGAGGGAGGCGGAGGAAGAGAGGTATTAGAAATCAAACCGACCGAAGAGATGGAGTAGAGGATCGGTGAAAGAGCTTGGTCCATAAAGAGTCGACATGTATAACGCTCGAGAGCCCGGCCGTCAGTCGCACGCGAGCGTGTATGAAAGAGGCGGGGGAGGAGGGAGAGGCAGAGGAGGAGGGAGAGGAGGGAAGCGAGAGGGAGGTGGGGAAAAAGCACGGGGAGTGAGAGGAGGATGGTTGAACTGGAGCTCCCGGAAATCGATGCTTCAACAGGAGGAGGAGGAGAAGATGGATGCAGGGAGGACTACCATCGCAGGGCCTGAGGCGGTTTTAGAAGAAAAAACACCATAAACATAAACTTTTGGCGCTCCGCGCGGATTTCTTGGATCTGCGCTGGGTCCCCCAACGGCGCCTCCGGCGCCGCCCCTGGCGCGCTCCGCGCTGTACCCCCCTCGCTGGCGCGCGGAGCGCGCCAGGGGCGGCGCCAGAGGCGCCGTTGGGGGGACCCAGCGCAGATCCAAGAAATCCGCGCGGAGCGCCAAAAGTTTATGTTTATGGTTTTTTTTTCTTCGCGGTTTAGCTAATGTTGGTCCAGCGTGGATCGGAACAGTTCGTGTAGCTCCACTGCTGCACATGCCTCCAGCGTCGCTGGGACACATCTCGGACTTGTTGTCGTCAAGACTCCTGTCAAGGGGGATCACCTGTGGACCTCGCCACGAGAAGAAGAACGGATCGCGACGAACAATCTATTCTGGGGAAAGGGGACGAGACCTGGGCTTAGAATTAGGTCGGGCTTGTCCTCCTACAGGCGGATCTTGGACGAACAAGAAAAATACCCAAAACACATTCAAACAGATTCGAGAAAAGTCAGAAAATCGTCCCCTGACTATTCTCTTCTATGTTTGAATATTCCTCCTGTAGAAAAAAATGCCCGACTAAAACTTAGAACAGATCACGCGAAACGTAAACAATTGGAATGAAAGATTACGCGTCCGCTCGCGGGCAGCACTGTAAGACTGCTTCCTCCGCGAACCCTGCTTCATCCAAACCATGAACCCTTGGAGATAATCCGCTTCGATCGGATCTCTGACTTCACCAACATCGCAGATGGCATCGTCGATTCCACGCATGCTGAAAGAGGCGATAATGAACTCCAAACTAGCAAAGATGAGAGGGAGTAGCTGAGAACCTGATGTGGCCGGTGACTGCTCGTGAAAAGTCGGTCTGGCCGCTGTCACTGGACACTTTGAAGGTGGTCACTACACGATGCTGGACCTTTCGGCGCCGGGTAGGCCAAGAAGAGGACAAACCCTCGTGGCAATGATGACAGAAACTGCTACTTCAACGGTGCCATGGCAACATGAGTCATCCAATAGGAAGCCTGTCCTTGAAACCGAGCGATCAGTGGCGTACTCCTTGAAAGCTTCTTTGGGCCCAAGAAACCCAAAGGCACCCTGACAAAACACAAGCGGTTCCTGATGCGCGACCCCACTGGTCACTGAGACACATGGGAAGCGTGCATCTGGCATCGGGGCACAATGCGACTGCAACCATATGCAATTATGTGGCCTGGACACTGGCGTGCATCAAGAATCAAGAGCAACATCACAAGACAACTGTCTGCTTCACCGTCCCTGTTCTGCCGCTAACCATGTCTCTCTCCCCCTTTCCTGCGCTGCATGAACTCCTCCTTTCCTCGACACTCCCTCCTTGGGAAGATTTGGACGCCCGAAGTGGGTACGGGAAAAATGGGTACAATGCCGAACAACAAAAGTTGTCCCGAACCAACAGCGGCCGCTGTTGGGCAGGCGGCCGCCTGCTTCGAATGGACACAGGCCGCGGCGGCGTGGACAGCGAGTCCTGTTCACAAAATGGACAGGGGCTGCTGCTGGGCATCGCTCCCGCTCTCGCGGTACCCATGTCGTTCGTGCGGAGAAGAGGGCCACGCGAGGAGACGGCGGCTCTCCCGCCTGGCCCCAATCCGCTCGAAATCGGCACACCCCTCGGGCTCCATCCTGACGGGGCTTCCGAGGCGGATGCGGCCGTGCCGACGAGAGGCCTCTGCGGACGCACTCTCTCCGCCCGCGCCGCCGAGCGCGAGGAGCGCAAACCTGCGGGGCACCCGGCTTGGCCGCCCCTCCTCCGCCGATCGCCTCGCCCCTGATGGGCCTGTTTTCCACCACCACCACCAGAAACGAGAGGGAGGAGGAGGAGGAGGAGGAGGAGGAGGAGGAGGAGGAGGAGGAGGAGGAGGAGGAGGAGGAGGAGGAGGACGAAGATGAGGAGGAGGAGGAGGAGGAGGAGGAGGAGGAGGAGGAGGGGGCGGAGGACCCCCTCCCCCTCCAACTGATGGTGGTGGTGGTGGACAACAGGCCCATCCGCCCCTCTCTCCCTCTGGGCCGCTCCCCTGCCTGCTCCCTTCCCCGAACTTGGGCGGGAGCATGAACGCCCGAACTCGGGTCGGGCGAAGGGGGGGGATAGCCAAGGGGGGGGTTGAGAATCAGCTCACGTAACTGATGTTCCCGGCGCCTCCCGGCGCCGGGAGCGGCCGTGTATCGAGGAATGGGCCCCTCGGTGAGGCCGAAACCAGCTGCACGCAGCAGATTTCGTAACCCCCCCGTTCCCAATCCCCCCCTTTCGCCCGACCCAACGAACTTACCAGCCTGGAACATATCCCTATCCCTGTGCTGGGCATCTCCTCATCACGATGCCAATCTTAGGGACTCCCTTATTTTTTCAGGGGGCATCCCTGAGATTGTCATCGCCTTTTGGCGTGTCAGTCTGAGGGATAGGGATACGTTCGAGGCTGGTAACAATCCCCTCCTTTCGCCCGACCCGACGAACGTCCGCGCGGAGCCCCCCCGGGGCTGGCGCCAGGCCCCCTCTCCCTGGGAGCGCGGAGCGCGCCACAGGGGCGGCGCCGGAGGCGCCGTCGGCGAGGGCAAGAAAGAGGCACGCGCGCGCCTCCGACAGCGTATGTAAGGCGTAAGTCGGGCCTGTCCCCCTACAGGGGGATTTTCGGCGCAAACTGGAAAAATACCCACCCGCAACAATACCCCCAAAAGGAAAAACAAAAAACTCCAAAATACCCCCCAGACTATTTTGGGGGTATTTTTTTGATATCTTTGGGGTATCTTTTATTTTTCGTCGAAGATCCACCTGTAGGGGGACAGGCCCGACTGAAGTTTAGGCAGGTGTTTCTCTTCTCCGGGGCCCCCTTCCCATTCCCTCCCCTCCAGCCTCCCTCCCTCCCCACCTTCCCCAAGGGGGGAACCACGACACGCAAGGAGCAGCATCCGCCGACCCCGTCGGCGAACGGAAGGCGCTGCTCCGTCTGACTCGTCGCCGCCGAGAGCCGCGCCGTCCCCATCGTTCTGCTTGACTCGTCGTCTCGTCGTCGTCGTCGTCGCCGCCGTCGCCGTCGTCGTCGTCGTCGTCGCCGTCGTCGCCGCAGCTGCGGCGGCGGCCGAGGAGCGCCCGAGGAGGGCCCGCGCCCGGAGCCCTCAGAGAGGCCCGCGCGGAGAGGCCCTCGGGTCGGCTCGCCGCGGGGCCCCGCGGCGGCCCCGCGCACACGGGAGGGACGGGGCCCTGGGACGCGCAGAGAAATGCACAGAAAGAGAAAGATTCCCCCCTATATACTTTCACATCTCTGCCGGGCTCCTGTCTTCCCCCCCACTGCCCATATGTTTCCCCACATCTTCTGGGGAATCGACGATGGAATTGTGTCTGTGTGCTTCCTCTCCTCCCGAGGGAGGGCGGTCCAGCGCTGGACGCAGGAGATCATGGGCGCGGGCCTCCGGAGGCTGATGCTTGCGCAGCTCGTCGCTCCCGAGGTGGACGGGCTAAGGGGCCACCCCTCGTGCGACGTCGTCTTGTCGTCGCTCGGGCGTCCATTTCCCGTGCGTGTTTCGGTTTCGTGCGTGTGTTTTTTTTTCGCTCGATGGTCCAGGATGGTCCTCGATGGTTCTCGCCGAGAAAAAAGCACACGTCCGAGCGATGCCAAGTCGTCGGTGCGATCTTCCACGGTGCGGCTCGATGTTGGACGAGCGCGTTGCGATGCTCGCAAAAAGGAGCTGCTCGCAGATGGCCTGGAGCCGCCGCGAGGCATGCACGTCCCATTACGCAGAGGCAGACGTTTCTTTGTTCGGACGTTTGCGAATAGGCGCCTGGCGAGTACTTAGTGCAATGCGCTCGGTGGGAGGTGATCTTCCACGGTACGACAATCCTTCCCGAGAAGCATTACACAGAGGTAGATATGGTTGTTTCGGACGTTTGCGAGTAGGCAACTTGCGAGTAATTAGTGGAACGCGCTCGGTGAGATGTGATCTTCCATGGTACGACAATCCTCCCCGAAAAGCATTATATGTGAACGTTCCCTCATTCGGCGTTTCGACATTGGGCGGAAGGGGCGGGGGGGTGGTCTGGCTCTGGACCTCTGCTTATTGCCACTGTTTGCAGCAATGCGTCCTCGGGGGGAGACTCCACCTGCTCGAAACACGCGACCAAAACTGACAAATATACTCCAGAGACTCCATGTGGGGGGGGAGGGGGGAGGGGCGAGGACCCGCTTCGATCTGCGGAACAAGGAATAACAACAAGATCACCATTACATAGAGGGAGACATGCTTGTTCTGGACACTTGCGAACAAGCGCTCTGCGAGTACGGCAGGCTCGTGCCGCGTCGACCCCGGCGCTGGCTCCTGACACCGCGGGGATCGTCCACAAACCTGAAGAACGATCGGCCCTTCCAGAAACGCCGCACCGTTCCAGGATGGGCCGACTCTGGACCACAGGCGGCGATCAACCTTTCACGCCCGCGCTGGGGTCGCCGCCGGTCGGCACGACGCGAACCTGCCGTAGCGGAACGCGCTCGGCAGTCGGTGTGATCTCCCACGGCGCGACAGGCCTCCGCGAGAAGCGGGCCCCCACGACCGGCCTGGCTGCGGGTCCCCCTGCCGGAGAGGTCCTCGCCCGCCCCCCCCTTTGGTGTCGCCACGGCGCGCACAAGGCGCCGTCTCAAAAATGAGGACCCGCCTGCCCTGCACGAGAAGGCGGTTGTCTTCGCGCCCCGTCGAAGGACCTAGCACCCCGCAAGAACACCAACTGCATAAGAAGAACAAAAACGGCACACAAATAACAATTCGGTGGTCCGCGCGGACATCTGGAACATAGTGGTTGGCGCCCGGCACACGCCGACATGAGTTACGAATTACACTCGACCAGGACAGTAAGGATGGGCGGTAAGGATGCAAGGACCTTGGCACGCCATGTTGACGTTTGCCGTGCGGAGCGCAGCAGAATGCCGAAGGATGCCGAATATCGAAGGGGGAAGGATGCAAGGGTAGCTTGGAAAGTTGCCTCATCCTTCCAATCATGGTTGACTGTATGGGTATGGCGCGCGGGCGCCATATCCACGGGTCGGAGAAGGTGACCCCGACGCATGCAGTCCATGCCGTCTGATTTGGCGGCGGAACGTGCCGACAACACGGCTGAACCTAAACGGTTTTGTTCGTTGTCGTTTTGCTTTCGTTGTCCCTCGTTCTGTCTTCGATTCGCCTTTAACGCAAAACGAAATCAAAACGAAAACGGCCCACGAGATCGCCAAAACACAGTTTAGGGCCACCCCTGGTCGACAACGTGTGCGCCTCAGTGTACGCTTGCGCCTACGATTCAACTCCCAGGAAATAACACCAGCCCTTTAGGGCGTGAAGGGTGGAGGGAGTCCGACCAGCCCTTTAGGGCGTGGGTAGTTTAGGGAGGGACTTTCCCCTTCCATCCCCCGTCTTCCCCTTCGGGGAGGGGTTCGCCCCTCCCCTTACCCCCTCCTCTGGACTTGGACGGGGGTGGTCGCGGGCAGCTGGAGCGTCCAAGATGGCTCCTCCAAGAGGGCCTCAGATAGTGCAAGATGGCCTCCAAGATGGCTCCAGATAAGGCAAGATCACTCAAGACTGCTTCCAAGACGCTCCAAGAGGCCCCAAGACCGCCTCAAGACGGCTCCAGTGGCAAAAGAGCTCCCCAAGGAGGCACCCAACAAAAACAACATCCCTCAATCACCGGAGGACAATATGTGCTTTTGCTTTCTCGCACTTTCGCGTACGATGGCCATCCGAGGCCTCAAGATGGCAGCAAGATGGCCAACGAGAGCCCCAAGAGGGGCCCAAGAGAGCCCGAATACGGCCCCAAGAGAGCTCTCCAAGAGCGCCCGAAGAGGTGATTTTAGGCACTCCAGGAGGGCAAGGCACAGTGAAGCTCCCCTCTTGTTGAACCGATGTCTT